GAAGCTGGGGAACGGGACTCACACCCAAAATAAAGCAGCATGGATAATTCCTAAAATACATAAGTAACTAAACATAGAAGGGCAGGGAATAAAGTACAATTCAAGAACGATGACTAAATTTTAAGATTCAGTTTGAGAAGGTGTTAGTACTCAGCATGGGTGGTTTCCTAAATTCAGCCCCTTTCTGCCTTTTTAGCTATCAAAAAAATCTGTGCTGTGTGACTTTCCCCAACCTTATGGATTTAAGCATCTACCCTTTTCATTATGATTCAAAAATTTGTGACATACAATAAGTTTCATTGATGTCAGCTGAACTGGGGGCTAGATTCCAAGTTTACACAAAGGAAACAGTCAAATAGGTATCCTGAACATCCTCAATGCTCTCAATGAAAAAGCTACTTGTGAGGCATCCTTCTCACAAAGATCAGGTATTTATCTTCAATATTTATTTCAAATATATATATTGCGAGAATGTAAATACATACTAATCAAATATAAATGTACACACAGACATAGAGTTAAATTACACATATTAGCCAGAAGGTACAATGCTAAGTGAAAGACACTTTTCCCCCAAAGCTCAGACCGAACTCAGGTGTAATTTACAATGATCTTGGGGGAAATCAGAAGTAAAGGGTAAAAAAGGGGGAGGGGCTTAAAAAATATTTAAGACAAAAGAAGATACAAAGAGTAACAATACAGGACTGAGAGACAAATCACAGTTAGTCATTCAGAGGAAGAACGAAACAGGAACAACTAAGCCAAGAGTTTCACACATATATGTGTAGTTCTTCACCATAAAGATATTTTAAAAATCCACAGAATCGGCACATCCTGGCCCTTTACGACACCATAAACTACTTATCAAGTCCACCAACATTCTCCTCACCTACCAGACGAGGCAGGCTTTGGAAGACAGAGAAATAAATGGCATCCTCAATTATTATTTAAATTGCTGACTAGTGTGTAGGGACATCTGTAATCAACAACCGCCTTGGGCCAATCAAGTGATTCTTTTCCACATTACCTGTAGCGTGGAACATACGGGTCAGGAGAAACAAGATAAAGAACATTTAGGGTCCTTGGTTAATGGGGGGCAGTGATGGGATGGGGACACTACCCACTAAAACCATTGTTACAAAGTGTAATTCACACATACTGAATAGACTCGGATGGAATTCACTTGCTTTTTTTTTTTCCCCAAACATTCTAAGTGGAAAGGACATTTATTTGTATTTTTCTTGAGCTCCCTGGAAAATGCTGCTTTCAACTAAATACAGCATTCTAGAATAAACATTTTTGATTACGCTTATTTGGCAATTTATCCGGGAAACCTTAGCTCAAGCTCAACATCTGCTTTTCAATGCATCTTGCATTTAGCCAACCTTACAGCTGGGTTGACTAAGGAGAGAGCAGTCCTGCAGTGGCTTCCTCCTACCTCAGACTCCCAGCTGGAAAAAGGACTTGAGGGAGTGTGACAGCCTGCCTAATCTTCTTGTGGGAAGAACAGGAAACATTCTTTTCTCAATCTCACTAAAATACTTTACAGGCCATTGGATCAGATGACTACATTCAGAATTAAATACACAAATTATAGGATGATGAGTTAGGAAAATGAAAGCACTCCCAAATGGAAAAGTATTTAATTGTGCAACGCTTTCTTTCCTACAAATACTGATATGGCATATATAGTCCTTGCTGGCATGGTACCATGTAACTGAAACTCTTATGTATCCGAAATGTGTTCTGGCTTTGCACAGAAGCAGGGTCTCACAGCAGGGCCATGCCATGTGAATCTGTATCAGTTTATGTGGCTAACTAGCACCCATTACTCCAATCCCTAATTACGAGAGGTGCTGGCATGCCACAACTCAAAAGTGCCAAGAAGTCAAGGCAAGCAGGCAGGAAAAATAGTAGAATTTACTTTAACTCAGTAGCTACTTAAATATCAGGATAAATATGGATCTGCAAATTGCATATAAGTAACATTTTAATCTTTATACAGAACAGTTTGGGCTGTCCTATATATGTATTATAATTTGAGAATTTAGAAATACAGTTGTTGCTTTTCACACTTTTTCGCTATTTTTCCACTAAAACAATAATTTTAGAGATAGTTAAACCATTTCTGATTGACTTTTCAATACATAATAGTTTTTAGTTTTAAATGCTGTTGAATTAAGGTGTAAATACACTTAAATTAACATAAGGTTCCTATTTAAAGGAAGTTACAAAAAAAAAAAACTTCTGTAAAGCAAAGAATCATTTGGTATCATGAATAATCATTTCCTATTATATCTTTCTAAAATAAAAAAGACAATGTTAAGTGTGAAGAAACAGCTGCAATCTGTCAAGAAATTACCTCCAAAGCACTCACACTGCCAATATAAAAAGTCTAGATTCTAGGACTGTAGAGCATCAGGATTGGAAGAGATCTCTGGGGTTATCTGCATTGACCTCAACCCCCACACACGTTCAAAGTAATGGCATCTCATGTCATGGAGCAGTGATGGTTGTCAAAGCGCTTTGCCTGATCCGAGTCTGAAAAGCACATGAGACAAGCAGGAGCAGGCGTGTTATCCCCGATTAACACACAGACAGCCTCAGGCTGATTGCTGGTAAGTGGCAAAGGTGGGATCAGAGCCAAAGTTGCTGACTCTAGTCTTGGGCTCCCGTGACAGTGGCCAGCAGAGCCACTCGTTCACTTCTGAAACAGTCTTCTACTCTGCGACCCACGCCAGAAGTATACTGCAGGAAAGATCACCAACATCTCTGAACTGCTCAATTTCCTTGAAGACAACTTTCACATCCTCGCCCAAAGTTTCTCTTTTTCAAGTTTAACATGCCCCTGATGACATACTCCCCCAAAACGAGCAAACCTACTTAGGTGTATCACATGCCAATGACAGTTTCTCAAAAGTCAACAATACCCTTCAGATGTGTTCTGAGGTGGACCACTGCCTTCCTGGAACTCAACTCAAGGAGATCTGACTAACATTGCTAAGGCTGTTCTAGCTTTTCTGTAAGCCAAGCATGCACACTTCTTGAGTATCTAACCTGAAATGCAAAGATGGATGGGACATGGTGCCACGGGCTTTAGGATAAGACAGTAATCAACTAAAGCCTTTCTTGATCTTCAGCAAGATAGATGTGACATGTTAAATGACTGAGTTTTTAACCTAAACGCAATTACTCATTCTGCCATGTTGCTTGTTTCAGGATCACATTCCAAGCAGGTAAAACTGTGTCATCTCTGCCAAGTACAGCGTCCTGATGGTTCCCCAGCACGATCAACCCCATCACAATCACGTCATTTGGGAATTTACTAGATCATCAGAAACTGAGAGAAGCATGTTATACAGTAGATATTCTTAGGCCCTCTTCACAGATGAGAAGGCTGATGCTTACAAAGATTAATTAATGCAAAATGACAGGCTTGTGGCACAAGACAGGTTTGTGGCACAGCCTCACCAGCACAGCTTAGTGGCAAATTTTACTGATACACAATAGTATTTCATGAATTCAGTTCATAACCAACCCACTTATGAAGGCTTCAAAGGTTTGCTGTTATTTCTGATATTCAAAATAACAATATTACAATAGTAATATTTACAATAGTAAAACATACACATGTAAACATTTCACCTCTTTGGCCTTTTAAAAGTATAGTGCTATTTTGCTAGCTTTGTCCAAATATATACGAGCGGCCTCAGGTTAAATTGGGGACATGAGCAAAACTTCCAAAAGAGTTTCCACCCCATTCGGCACATCCCAGGTGATCACATTCTTGTCATGGGTCAAAACTGCAGAAACTAGTTGGGTGATCATGACAGGTAGTAAAGCTAAATTATTATAATCAACAAATGAAAAACCTTATTTATGGCAAAAACAACTTTAGTGAGTACTTTTCAACCCTAATCTTACTTTCTCTTAACTGTGCCTAACAGAAAACTACTGATAACTAAAGACACATGTTCATTTTCTGAGACTGAATTCTTTAAACCATTTAGTCAGAAGACTTTCTTAGACGTTGTTATCTTCTAATGAACCGTATTCTAAAAAACGGAAAATGAAACTCAGGATCACAGATAGTAATAAACCTAAAATACTGCATACTTACTAAGAGTTCTATATATTATATAACTTTTACTTGTCAATTTAAAAAGTTCTGTGTAGACACCTGATTATCACATTCTCTAGACAATTTTTTTTGTCCTTCTAAAAAACATTGGAAAAATATCTTCCTTTCTGTCCTTCTGCCTTCTCTCTCCCCCTCCCCCCTCTCTCTAGTACTGAAGCTTGGTTTGTAAGAGGTTAAAAATTCACTCTGGCTAGGTAATCAGTAGATCCCTTTCAAAATGTTATCTTCAGAGATAGACTTGTCTGCCACTGTTAGCCAAGAGGGTTTGGACTTACCTCAGTTATTAGTTCACTTCTACTTGGAATGTACTTGAAATAAGAAAAAAAGAACTTCAGAGTCTTAACTTCTCTGACTCGTATGCAAACCAATTCTATTAGCATACCAAACTAACACTTCCATATTTATGAATAGGAAAATTAGACATAAAAAAATCCAATGTGCAGTAATCTATTTTGCAAAGTAATATATACTTGTGAATGCAGCAAAAGTGAAAACTGTGGAACATTTTAAAAGCAAGGATTCTTTAGTCTAATACTCTTAACTGGCTAAACATGACCCAGAATGAACTGCTATCCCAGATAAACACTTCTATGACTACAGCAAGAAAGAAAGGATGCACAGCAAACCAAAAGATTTTTTCACTGATTAAAAAAAAAAATGGGCCAAGAGATAACAGGAGCTAACTGAGAAAGCAAATAACTGGCAGCAAGCAACTTCCAAAGTAACATAAGCATAAAGATATATTCACTATTCTCTATACAGTATTTAAGTCATAGTAATAAATGACTCTTATTCCTCTTTGGAGGAACAAAATTATCACCCCATTCTCAAGATTTTGGCCCAAAGGAAGGAAACTCACTAGAAACTCTTCTTCCCCAAGCCCAACTGAAGCACCAGGCGCAGCAGCCAGGGAGCAGGCAAACCAGTCTCTACAGATAAACAAACTCCCAGTGAAAGACATTCACCAACCTACATACAAAAAAGATACAGCATTGTTAGTAACATTTCTAAAAGCTACTTCAGATCATTGATAAGAAAGAAGTCGTCTATGTAATTCAAACATTTTTAAGAAACTTGGAAAGCCTCAAACTAAACTGGCATGTGGTCAAAAAGCATTCAGAGTTAACTATGACTTAGAGACAGGATTTTTACCCAAACTATGTGGTAGGAAGGGGTCATTGAATTCAACAATTATCTACTAAATATTTACTAAAAGCAAGCCTCTGTCATGCTGATATGGAAACTTTCCCCTAGGGCTGCCACCTTGTCATTCTCTTCCAGACAGGAGAGCTCTGTGCTTTGAGGAGGCTGTTGTGACCCTTTATCAAAACTCTCAAAACAAAAAGTTTTCCAGCGGCTGAACTTTAAATGGAAAAACATTTATAAAAGGTAAAATATCTATAAAATACAAACTTCACAGTTTTCTCATTACTCAATGACTTCTAAAGCAGAAGCTTAATCATCATTTTAAATGTGGCCTAAACGTCCACAACATGGACGAAAAGCTCAGTAGCATACTTTCTCAGCGACAGCCTCAGTGTGCTCCTATGGACAGAGCTGGAACAGAACCCTTCACTTCCACAAAACACACAGGCATAAACGTTTTAATCTTCAAGTCCGACCTCACTCCTATTTCAGGGGGGAAAAAGCACTGAGACGTTAGCATACTGGAGAATGGACGAAAAACAGCAACCATTTTACTTCTCAGACTACAGTTACATTTGAGATACTAACTTACAATCTTGACTACACCGAGAAAAGAGGGCAGAGGGGAGAGGGGGAAGCAGAAGGCGAAACACCTAAGTTATTTGGGGTCCCAGTAAAGCGTCTGTTCTGTAGCAGTTTAAGAACTTGGCTTTGCAAACTACCTTCTTGGGCCAGAGGAAAACTCCGTCAACTGCTGGCGCTTCACCAAAACATCAATCACAGCGGCCCACGGGACTCATGTGGGTCCGCAGGACTGCACGCAGAGTAGCCGGGGTAAACACAGCGGAGCTCGGTTCGAGCAAGTCTTGGCAAACGTTAACGGAGGAGAGAAAAGCTGCTCCTACTGTGCTATGCTCCTGAGCTAAAAACGCATTTCCTTCCAACAGCGAACGCCTCCCCAAGACCAAGAGGGGCGAGCGCGCGGTGGCGAGGCCGGCAGGGGCATCCTGGGCCCGAAAACTGGGAGAGGGGCCTCTGACGCAGGGGGACATTCGCACTCTTCGGGGTCCCGTTCCGAGGGGTGGGGGCCGCGGACAGGGGCGTCGCCGTCGCGGCAACCGGGCCGCGCGATCCCTCGCTCCGGGGCCGACTCGTCGGAGGCTCTTAAAAAGCAAAATTCCTGCGCCGACGTCCCTTAAAAGCCA